TAAATATGTTGTTTTAAGAGATTTTCATAACCCTGGATGCCACAGTTAAAAACAAACACCAGCATGCACCGTTTTGCAATCTCTTAAACAAATAAAATTGCTCTGATTTAAATAACATTTATTTTACATGACCAAACACAATAAATAATGTAATATACAAAGCTTTATAATTATTGCACATTTGTAAAATATCTTACAGTGAGTTCATACAGCCAGCAATATTTAAAGCACAAAGACTTTATTTACAGTTTTATCTTATTATACTAGCCAGATCCAATGGACCTAACATAAGATGAATTTATGTTCATTTTACCAACCAGCGTTCTCATCAATCATATATATTTGGGAGGGGGATGTAAACATTATTGCCTAAAGTACCTTATATACATCTGATAGCTGATCATAACAAAGAGCTTTAACAATCTAGAAAGGTAAAGCTGATAAAAGGGTACCATATTTTGGTTTATTTTATTTAGTCTTAAATTATATATTAATATTTTTCATGTAAACTTAGTGAATATGAGCTGGTATAATCATTATTTTACATAAGTAGTCTCATCTCTTTAGAAAAAAGGAAGTTTAGATTATTGTTATTTCCTTAGGAAGTTCTCTATTATTTTATGGGATCATAATAGATAACAGGAGTTTTGAAATACTGCTTCCCCTTGGAATCTTTCCCACTTGATAAAAATAATTTCTCCTGGAAAAAAATTAATTATTTCAACATATAATGAAGAATCTGTCCTCCGGAATTGAATTGTTAAAATCCAGTGTCTTTAAAAATAACAAAAATATGCCAGAAAACGAATTTGAAATAAATCACATAAAATGTGTCAATGTGTATATATGGATGTGTGTATCTCTTATATATGTATTTAAGAGCACGAATATATATATGCATATACATACATATATATACACATACACACGCAGGTTGCATACACACATATACCCACTTTGCTGGGCCTAAACATGCAAGTTATTTTAGGGCTTCAACTCTTCAGAAAATCTCATTATGTGAGGAGCGAAGTGGCTCTGCGGGGAGCATTATGGAAATATCTGGGCTTGATTTAATGAGGCTGTTCACATTGGTGGAATATCAACTTAACAGAGAAAAGTCTACCCAGGGCGTCCAAGTTACCAAAATGAAAATTGGCAATTGAGATGATAAGAACGTGGCTTTCTTCTGCGAAATCACTTCAGGTAACAGAGATAACATTAAATAACATACATTCTATGCACCAAGAACAATGTTTTATGTACCGAGTCTCTTATCCGTCTCTCCTAATGACTTCCCTTAGCGGGTTGTTAGTGCTTGACAGCAGGTCTCCGTGCGGGGAACTTTTCTCCAATTCCACATTCAAAGGAGGTCCATCAGAGAGCATGATTGGCAATTTTCGTCATAATCTGCACATTATTAGCATCAAAATTGACGTGGCAGTTAACACTGGTGGGTTTTGATGTACCTTTCTTCAAGTTCAAGGAAACCCCCCCTGTAGCCAGGGTTGGCAGAGCAGGTCTCAGCAACCCAGCGGTGGCTTTTGCAGAGAAGAAGGCAATAGACATGCGTGAGAAATATGCCAAGAACCACTTTACCCGAGGAAAAGGAAAACACGGAGAGAAGGGGTCGAGAGGAATACAGAGTTCGAACTCATAAAAGTGTCTAAGGAAAGCCTTAGGATAATATCATATATCTAGAGATTCAAGTATTTCCCAGATCGAGTGGAACTCGACTGTTGGAAAACTGAGATGAAAAGCCTCTCTCTCCACAAATTACAATGATCTATCAGTGTGGCCCTCACCTTCTCTCGTCCCCCCCCCCTTTTTTTCTTCCCTGGCCTGGCTGTGGCAACCTCGTTACCCATTACATTTTGCATAAAATATGCAAAGAAAAAAACCGTTCCATTTCCTTAGCACTGAAACCAAAGACTCAAGGAGAACTGTTGTGGACTGGAGAGAAGGAAGCGTGATCGCCACTTTCCCACCTCGGCTTTGTCCTTTTGGAGAAGCTCTGCTCGCTGTGAAAGATATCATGCATCCTCCGTCTGCTTTGGGGCTTCTCACACTGCATCCTCCTGGTCCCCTCGAACAAAAGCCCCTAGCAAGCTGAGACTGAGAAAATCTGCCCTTTCCTTCTCCCCGTCGTTTAAAGACAAAAAGAGCAACAGCATGAATCTGGGGCTCCCTTGCCCACCGTACTAGCACACAGCTCTCTTTGTCACGGTGTCCCACTGCTTCTAGCCACTCCCCCGGGTGACTCGGTGAGATGATCAGCCGGGACTGGACACCCTGGAGTCTGACTGGCCCTGGGGAGTTGTCTTCCCGGAGACCAAGGCCTCCACACAGGTGGGAAGCAGGCCCTACAAAGCCGGAACCACGTTTAGAAGGCGTAGGGTTGGGGGTGGGGGAACAGCTAGGTTGGAGATACAAAAATAGAGATCATTTGGGGGGGGGCACACCTCCAGGCCTTTGCTCCAGCTCCCTTCTCCCCCAACTCGGG